TGGCTGTACAGAGGAGCTGGGAGTGGAGGCAGTGTCCAGTGGATTGTTGCCGAGGCGCGGGCTGATTCAGCGTGTTCCGCGCGACTCATGACCTTGGTAGGGCGTGCGCAGACCTGCCTGTCTTCTGCTAACATACTGTGAACCGCCAGCCTCCCAAGTGTGAGAAAATGCTGCTGCTTCATCCACCCAGTCGTGTGCATTGTCACGGCAGCCTCGCAAGCTCACACCAGACCCCGGTCTTGCCCTTGTCTGCTGTGTCGTCACCCAGCCTCCAGACCTGCAGAACCCACGGCCTAGCAGGTGTCCCCACTTGTCTCCCTCAGACCCAGCCCAGCCTCAGTGTGTCAGGAGCAAGCTCACCCCTTGCTGCACCTCAGTGAGGGGCCCCCATGACCCAGAAAGAACTCAGGTATTTCTCTGGACCCCACACCTCTCATTCCCACTGCCTGTTTTAACCCATTTGACTTCTTAAACCTTTGATGACTTTTTCTACTTTGAAAACTTCAGAACCAAAGAAAAGTGGAATAATAACACAACAAACACCTAAGAAAACCTGCAGTTTGCTAATGCTTTCTCTATGTACTGTCAGCCTTCCCCACCCCCAGATTCACTACCTTGGATATTTGGAAAAAAGACTGCATGTATACTGAAGGTAGATAGATCATGTGTATGTGTGTGTATACACGCATTGGGGACTGAACCAGCATCTTGTTTATACTAAGCAAGTGCTCTCCACCGAGTACATCCCCAGCCCATTTTTGTTTACGACAGACTCTCACTATCCTGTCCAAGTTGACCTGAAATTTATAACTTCCCTGCCTTAGCTTTTCAAAGTAGCTGGGATTATAGTCATGTGCTCTACTATACCTGGCTTGCCATGACCCTCTCAGCTTAGGGTCCAAAGCCGGGGAAACCAGTGGGAGATGAAGAAAATTGGAAAATAATAAGAAAGGATACCAGAATTATACTTTATAGCTAGGACATAGCCTGATGAGCTAATGGCCACCTGGCATCCAGTGTGTTCTTTATTTATAGTGTAGGAAGGCCGGGTAACTAGTACCACATGGCCCATGTGGCCTAGGCTAAACATGATTGTCTCACAGAAAGAAACAAGGATACATAATGTAACTGTCTCCTGGGGCTGTGCCATCCCGGATCTACAATCTTAGTCAAACAGTCTGTTTGACTATCTAATCTATGGAGGAGAAAGGGAACAGGGACCAGGCGAAAGGCCATCTTCAGGCTCCACCCGCGGCACTGGCTGACTTTTTTTGGTCATTATTCCTTATAGTATAACAATATAACAACTATTCACATAGCATTTATATTTTATTAGGTATTATAAATAATCTACAGATGCTTTAGGGTATACAGGAAGTTATACAGAGGTTGCATTAAATACTAGGCCATTTCACATAAGGAAGTTTTGCATCCACCAATTTGGAATCTACAGGGCTCCTGGAACCAATCTCCCACAGATCCTGAGGGAAAATTGTATTTACTTTTTTTACCTTAAACTGTTAGAAAATAAAATGCAAACACCATCATATTTCACCTTTGAATATTATGTCATTCATCTCCTAAGAATAAAGATATTTTGGCACATAACCTTAATACCATTATCACATCTTGTTTTATTTCCTTTCTCATTGCTAGGACAAAATACCTGACCCAAACATTAAACGAGGTGAAGTTTTTTGTTTGTTTGTTTTTGGTACCGGGGATCAAACTCGGACCTTGCGTTTTTGAGGTAGGTGGTGGAACCACTGAGCTAAATCCCCAGCCCAGGAGGAGAAGTTTATTCTGACTCACAGTTTGCAGAGGTTTCAATCCATAGTCAGCTGGCTTCAAGGCAGGGGAGCATGGCAGAGGGGCATCGCAAAGGAGAAATAGTCCATAGTGTGGCAGGCAGGAAGCAGTGCCATCAAGGGAGGAGGGAGATAAGAGCCTTCCAGGCCACACCCACGTGATCCATCTCTTCCTACCACCTTCACCTCCCAACATGACACCCAGATGTAAACCTATCAGTGGACTAATCCAGTATAACATATACATGATCCAGTCACTCCCAAAAGCCCCAACCTATGACCACAGGAGGCTTTGGGTAGATATCTAGATAGAAGCCACAACACACATAAAAACTAACATTACTTTGGTAATGTAATCTTATAAAAGTCCTATTTTAATTTTTACCAATTGTCCCTAAAATACCTTTTTACATTTTCCTTCCTCATTCTTAACACTATCTAGGATCTAATCAAAGTTTATGCCTTGCACTGATTACATCCCTTTAGATACTTTTAATTTAGAACAATTGCCACCATCCTTTTTTCTTTATGACACTGCTTTTTAGGATTTTAAGTCAGTTGTCTTGTAGAAGAATCCACATTCTGGATTTGTCTGGTTTTTCTCATAATATCAGAGTACCTTTATCTCTGACATTTCAACATATATCTGTTAAGTTTTTGAGATTTTTTTTTTCTTTCTGGCATAAATATTCACTTTGTTCTTTATTTGCCCAAGATTTGAAGCCAAGTAAAGTACCCAAAGAACTCTTCCCCCACCCCACACTCAGTGGGACCTGGTATTTAGAAACCAAGATATGGGTGCTGGGTGTGCTCATTATTATAAGGCCAGCCTAAAATACATAGGAGACCCTGTCTCAACAACAAAAACAAAATTAAAAATAGAATTAACATATGTCTTCCTGGTATAGTTCCAGAAGAACTGGAAGCAGGGTCTCAAAGAGATATTTTCACACTTATGTTCACAGCATTACTGACAATATTCACAGTAGCCAAGAGATGGCAGCAAATATCCATCCAAATGAATTGATAAAATGTGGTTGTGTAAAATATATTATTCAGCCTTTAAAAAGGGAGATGGCAATGGTGACACATGCCTGTAATCCCAGAATTCGTTGAGGCTGAGGCAGGAGGATCACAAATTCAAGACCAGCCTGGGAACTTTGTGACTTAGGAGGCCTTGTCTCAAAATAAAAATCAAATGGGCTGGGGATGTAGCTCAGTGTGAAGTCCCTGGGTTCAACTGCCAGTACACCAAAAACAAACAATAAAACAAAACAAAATAAAAAACTGGAGTCAAAAAAGGAAGGAAGGGGGTAAGATCTTGTCCAAAAGAGATAAATAAATGGCAGAGATATGAAAAAATGTTGAGCATTTTTAGTCATTGTAGAAATGCAAATCAAAACAATGAAATACTGTATCATACTTCAGTAAGACTGCTATAATTTTTAAAAGCCAAACAACATAAAATATGAAGTGTTGGCTAGGATGTAGAGAAATTGGACCCTTCGTATGTTGCTGGTAGGAATGTAAAATGGTTCAGGTGCTGTGGAATACAGTTTTACAGTTCCTCCAGAACCACAGAATTACTATGTGATCCAAAAATTCACTTCTAGGTACATATCAAAAATTACTGAAAAGAGATACTCAAACATAACAGCACTATTTACAATAGACAAAAGGTGGAAATAGTCCAATGTCAAAAATGGATAAATGGAAGCCTATACATGTAGTGGAATATTAGTCATGAAAAGGATGGAGTATTGATACATGCCACAAAAACACCAGAAGCCAAACACAAAAAGTTGTATTGTATGATTCTATTTACAGGAAATATACAGAATAGGTAAATCCACAGGTTAGAATACAGACTGGTAGTTGGCAAAGGCTAGTGGGAATAAAGAATGGGAAGCAACTCCTTAATGAGCTACAAGGTTTCCTTTTAGGGTAATGAAAATGTTTTGGAACTAGAGAGAGGTAGGGGCTCCATAACATTGTGAATGTAGTGAATGCCACTGAACTGTTCATTTTAAAATGATTTTGTCATGTTAACTTTACCTCAACAATAAGAACTACATATAAGTTATTAAAAGCGTTTCACCAACATTTTATACATTAATGTCAATGATTACACTGGACTCAACAGAAGCTTTAAACTTTGAGTATGAAGCAGGCCTAATATAGTAATCTTGGAAGTTAGAAATTACTTATTTGGAATACATATTTTTCCGATACTAGGGATTGAACCCAAGACCCCACACTTGCTAGGCTAGTACTTTGCCACTGAACTACATCCCCAGTTCTCTCTTCAAAACTTTGAGACAGGGTTATACTAAGTTGCCCAGGCTGGCTGTGAATGTGATTCTCCCACCTTGTCCTCCTGAGTAGCTGAGATTATAGGTATCGTCAACATATCCAGTTTAAAGTTTGTTTTTGTTTTTTTTAAAGAAAAAGTATGGAGTGAATATGTAGTAAGCAATAAATGTTACTTTTTTAAAGGTTACTGATTAAAAATATGGCTTGATTAAAATTCCCAGGGTTCCCAGCCTGTTTTTCCAGGAATGATCTGGACTAATTAAAGGCCCTGTTATTTCCTCTCATCTTTCTGTGCTAAGACTTGCATTACTGCTGTATCATGATTTACTTTACTTGTTCTCCCTCTGCTGTCAGGTATTTTAACACGCACTGGAGTTGGGGTTAGAGGTATTTACCAGTATTTACTGGGCACTTTCTCCGTGCTATGCACTTAGCTGCACCCTGAGTACACCAGAACGAAGACACGAGCCCTGACCAAACTTATCAACCAGTACAGGGGACCATACACAAGTCACTCGTATATCATGAATATGTACCACAAAGGAAAACTGTGCTGGCCAGTGAGGGTAGTGCGGTTAGAAGTCTTCTCACAAGAGGCCACATTTAATCTGAAAGGCAATAGGTGAGTTTAAGTCTGGAAAGACTGTGAGGTTATGGTAGAGTTTGAGCATTATTTAACTGCCGCAGGGAAGCAAACGAAGCATTTCCAGGGAAGTGATGTAATTTTGCTTTTTGAAAAGATTGACGGTGGTAACGTGAGCTGATAAGCTAGCATGGACATCCTGGATTCAATTCTCAGCACCCTCCCCCCAAGGAGGGGGGGAGAGAAGGAAAAAAAATATAAAAGACCCTAGAGGTAAGAAAACAGGGAGACATTTCTAGGCATCTGAACATATAATGTTTATCTGGACTTGAGATAATACCTACTGACTTTGCGGGAGGGTGACTGAGGGTGTCATTCCGCGATAAGGCAGAAAACACTGCAAAGCCAAGCGGATGACCCTGGTTTTCGGGTGTTTTGTTTTGCGACGGGGTCTCGCTATATAGTCCAGGCTGGCCTCGAACTCGCCACGATCCTTCTGACTCAGCCTCCCAGGTGCTGGGATTACAGGTGTGTGCACTACCGAGCCTAGCGACCCAGTATTTTAAAGGAAAAAAACGAGCCTCGGCTTTCAGGAGTTCAGGAATCCCTGGGGCCAGGGAAGGGCTGGAAATCTTCCCGCAGAGCTCGACGGAGAGACAGCCCGAGAGAAGTCAATCCCCGGATGGGGCCTCCTGCTTTAAAGCTGCCACATTTAGGCCATCAGGTACAGAGCAGGGGCCCGGCCTTGTCCAGAATCGAGGGTGCAGGACGCACCCCGCAGTGAAAGGGTACCTCACTGCCGAGAGTCAGCCACAGCAGACAGTCCGGCGACCTTGTAGAAAACTAAGCTGTCCAAGACGTGCGCCTCCCCACCGACTGGCCCCACCCCGGAAGTGCCCTCGTACTCACTTCTGCTTTCCCAAGCGTCTGTGCTCTCGCGAGAACTGAAAGCTCTATGTGACCTGGACTAAGCGGAAGTCGGGTCTCTTTTTCGTGGCGCCTAGAGGGCGATCGGTAGCTTCGAGATGAAGGTAGGAAGTGGTGGTAGGTGCTGGACTAGACTTGGGGAATTTGGGTCGAGCCCCAGAACGTAGTGGTGCCACAGTCCCAGCGCTCCAAGATTCTGGCTTTAGGTGGAGTAGGGTCCGAGGCAGAATCAGGCTTGCTCTCCAGGGACTGGATGTCCCCGGGAGCGCGGATGGCGGTCGATTGCGCCGGAGTCGCGCCCGTGCCGGCTCGCCACGGTGGCGACCCGCGCCCGGCCGGGCAAACGCGGGCCCAGCTCTCGGTTGGCTGCCAGCCTGTCTGCCCCTCTTGACTCGCACGATCTGTCGGGCTGCTTGCTCCGGGACGGTGAATGGTTGCGCGGTGCCGTTGCCCCGACTTAATCCGCGGGGCTGCCTGGAAAAGGTGTCCCTCAGTGCGGTGCTCACACGCGCTTCGTAGTGGATAAAGTCAGCGTCTTAGTTTTCAGATTGTGTCAATGACATGAGGATTTTTTTGCAGTGAAAGTGTTGTGGGTGTTTCTGCAATTACCTGTTTAGTAATTACAGAAACCTTTCTTCAATTACCGAAAAAGCTCTGATTCCCCTTTCAACCGTAAGATTTCATCCTAAATTTTCACCCCCTCCCCTTAATCCTTAGCTGAACATCTCCTTCCCAGCCACTGGCTGCCAGAAACTCATTGAGGTGGACGATGAGCGTAAACTCCGTACTTTCTATGAGAAGCGTATGGCCACAGAAGTTGCTGCTGACGCTCTGGGTGAAGAATGGAAGGTGAAAAGTTGGCTATCGAATTACTGTGCCTACTTTAGTGAGAAATAGTAAGCGTTGTTGGTAAATGGACTTGGAACTGTCTTCTGACCATGTGTAATTCACTTGTGAATGTTACCTCGGAGCACCTGAAGGGAAGTGGTGTATATTTCCTTTATGACATGCTTTCAGGAAATGTCAAATACCTGTTCTGATTGTCTTCACGGAATTTTAAGTGCCAAAAAAGAATTTTTTTATTTGTTTATTGTTCATTGATTTCTTAAATATTTTTGTCTTCTTAATGTTAACTTCTAGTAAAACAGATTAGAGATGTAACGTGAATGAAAGGAATTTGGAAATGTAGACAGTTTACAAACTCAAAATGGTCTTACCTAGAATTATTCCTGTGATTAGTAAATGTTGGAATAGAAATAGTGAATGTTTGTCATTGTATATTCACTCGTGCAGGGCTATGTGGTCCGAATCAGTGGTGGGAACGACAAACAAGGTTTCCCCATGAAGCAGGGAGTCTTGACTCATGGACGAGTTCGCCTGCTGCTGAGTAAGGGGCATTCCTGTTACAGACCAAGGAGAACTGGAGAGAGGAAGCGCAAATCTGTTCGGGGTTGCATTGTGGATGCCAATCTGAGCGTTCTGAACTTGGTTATTGTAAAAAAAGGTGAGGTTTGTGTGCTTAAAAGTTTGATTTTCCTTGAAGTTGACTTACAGATGCTTTTCCATTTGCAGTGTCTGTGCACTGACCAATGGACTGGCTTCTTAACGAGTATAGTTAAATGAGTAGTCCAACTTTACAAAGGAAGTTATTGAATTAAAATATTTTGTTTACATTTGTTTCCTCTCAGGAGAGAAAGATATTCCTGGATTGACTGATACTACTGTGCCTCGCCGCCTGGGGCCCAAAAGAGCAAGCAGAATCCGAAAACTTTTCAACCTCTCTAAAGAAGATGATGTCCGACAATATGTTGTCAGAAAGCCCTTAAACAAGGAAGGTAAGAGGGATTGTGCAATTTATGACTTCATTTTAGTAATTTCCTGTGCACTTAGAAGGTATAGTCATTCCTTTTGGATTTACGGGTGATGGGAAAGATGGAAAATTGTGAGACTGAAAGTGTTTTTACCGTAAAGTATTTTAAGTAAAAGGGAGTGGGTGTAACATGGACCAGTGAGGTCCATGGCAGATACATAACATTAATAGTGAAATGTGTAATGTTTACATTAATAGGATGGATAGCATATTTGGTTTTCAGGATTGTTAATGGCTTACGCCTTTGCATTGTTACCTTGGTTTATGGACTTAATTTTACAATTTTGGGGAGGTTGGGTGCATTTGTGTTTGTGTGGGGGAGATGGCTGTAGTTATGATGTCACAACAGCCAAATTGTTTGCAAACAGAAGAGTTCTTGAACCAAGGCATCACAGTATTTAGCATATTCTGTGTCTGCACTGGCCTCATTCCAAATATTTGAACACCTGTCATATGCCAAGTGCTGAAGACAGTGATATAAGTAGTTAGGTTCCTACCTTTAGGAAGTTTATACTGCAGGAGATGTAACTGGCAAGTGCATTGCAGTGCCCCATAATCTGGAAACAACTGTTAGTGTTACAGATCTACTGGTGGGTGTTTTTAAAATGTGTCTTTGTAGTAGGTATAATTTAGTAGAGCCTGGGTAACTGAGCATTTACTTTTAGAACCTAAAGTATTACAGGTGACCTTGAACTAAAACTATATCTGAAAATTTTCTGCTCCAGAGTGCATTTACAACCCATAAGCAGTTTGGAGTACAAATCAGAAAGACTAAATGAAGGTGTAGCCACACTTAGATGTTTCCCCAAATTGACAAGATTTGTCATAGGAAACAGATTCAGGCCTATATGGGAACCTGTGGTGTCGGGTGAATGCTGTAGGTAATGCTTTTTACATAGTTTACTTCACCATGTAATAAAATGTCTAAAAATAATCCCATTTAGTACTGACACATGGTAAACATGTTAAAAGTATAATAAATTGAGGGCTGGGGATTTAGCTCGGTGGTGCTGCGGCCTGCTTCGCAAGCACAAGGACCTGAGTTCGATCTCCGGTACCAAAAAAAAAAATTATAATAAATTGAGTACTCTTCAGACAGATTGCAGTTTTCTATAATAGTATTTAGCTTATCTCAGATTTTTGTTGATGGGGCAGTAATTAAGTAGTACAGTACATCAGATTTAATTTAAAATGCCTCAAAAGTAAGTTTTCATAGTGCTACTAACTTAAGGCTTTTATGCCTATATGTGTGGGGATTCCAGCCAGGGTCATGTGCATGCTGAGCATGCAGTCTGCTGCTGAGCAAAACTCCATCCCTGAGTTTTTTGAGCAATGACTGCGTCACCTAAATTTTTAGGTAAGAAACCCAGGACCAAGGCACCCAAGATTCAGCGCCTTGTTACTCCACGTGTCCTTCAGCACAAACGCCGCCGTATTGCTCTGAAGAAGCAGCGTACTAAGAAAAATAAAGAAGAGGCTGCAGAATATGCTAAACTTTTGGCCAAGAGAATGAAGGTAAGTACAAGGTGGGGAGGGGGTAAAGCAGGAATAGCTTTGAATTTGCACTTTTCACCTGGACAAAATCTGAGTTGTGTTTTGTATTTTAGGAAGCCAAAGAGAAACGCCAGGAACAAATTGCCAAAAGGCGCAGGCTGTCCTCTCTAAGAGCTTCTACTTCCAAGTCTGAGTCCAGTCAAAAATAAGAATGTTTAAGTAACAAATAAAGTAGATCTGACCTCAGTTCTCCTTTATTGACTTTTCATTGGCGATGTAACTAGAGAGTAGAAGGAAACATGAGTCGGAGGAAATGAAAGTATGTATATAGTAACCCAGTAGGTGAAAGGATCAGAGTTGACACTGGTTGTTGAAGGAGTGTCCAGAACACAAGTCAGTCTTCTTTGGGAGATGAATGGCTCAGGAAAGAATTGTTAGGCCTTCACTGAGCTACATTCCCAGTCTTTGACCCAAACTTCTTGTGATCTTCCTGCCTCTCGGTGTTGAGATTACAGGTATGTGCACCACCATGTCCACCTTCAAAAAAAGGATGCGTAGCATAAAACACCGCTTCAGAAAGACATGTGATAATTTAGAAAAAATAAAGACTACCACTGTTAATCTTACAGAATTTGAGGATTACAGTTCAAAGATTTATGCTCAATATGGAAAAGGGCCCTCTTAAAAATGCATGTCATGTTTTCTGAAGAGCTTGTTAAACTGGAGTTAATGGAGAGTGGTTTTTATAACAGTTCACAAAAGCTTCCAAACCAGTGTAGATGTGTTAACAGCATTTTAGCTATGGTTATTTGTGCTTTGATTTTTTTTCTTGTACTGAAAAAAGGAGTTGCCCATCTATATAAAAAACTTGGAGGGCTAGGGCTATATATAGTAGTAAAGTTATTTGCCTAGAAAGCACTGGGCCCTGTATTCTATCCCCTACAGTATACCCAAGACTTGTATCAGTGAAAAAAAATTTTTTTTTCGTAAGGTAACAGTTTGTAGAGTAAGCTATGGTTCATTTAATTGCAATGTCTTGAATTGGGTCAAAATGTCTACCTTTCATGATCATTGGCTGGGAAAGGGCCAGATGTGGATAAAGAGACCATCATTTACAAGCCAGCCTTTCTGTTGGATGGCACTCAATGGCATCCACTACATTTTTGGAAAGACCAGAACTGCTTCAGAAAAATGACAAGAATAAATGTGTTCAAAGCTAGGGAGAGTATTTGAGGGGGATTAATGCCATTGTGTCTTACTCCAATTTGGGGAAAAAATGTAAACACCATATATTTTGATCCCATCATATATTTTAGCAGATAAGTAAAATTTTCAAAAAGCTTTCATCTTTTGGAGCCTAAAACTGCTTCACAACCTGAATGTATATAGGAATCACCTGGAGGAAAGGCTGAAAAACAACTAAGTAGATGGGTACAGGGTTTTAACGTAAGCTCCCAAGTAGGCTAATACTGTGACTATACTGCAGATCTCCATTTTTAAAATACTGATTTTTTTTTTTTGATACCGGGGATCGAACTCGGGTCTTTGCACTTGTGCAGCAAGTGGCAAAACCACTGAGCTAAATCCCCAGCCCCAAATACTAAATGAGAATAAAGCAAAAGGGAACCAGCATTTCTTGAAGTTACTCGAAAAGGACTGACATTACAAAGGGGTTAACTTACCACAAGAACAGTATGTGTGACTGAGTAATGTATTTAACCAGTACATCAGTTGGGCACAAAACGTGAAAAATACACAACATTGATTTCAAAGGATACAGCCATGAAAAGCAGATGTAACTCCTTGTAGTCTTTGTCCATGAATTGGGGATTTCTGGTCAGGATGGATGAAGATACTTTTATTATGCTGCAGAAATACTCAACACTGTACAACAGAAGTTAATAGCCTGTTAACAGTGGACCTTCAAGTTACAACTGGCCTGGTCACAAACAACTTCGGTTGTAACTGGACTTTTAACTGTTTTAGTCTTGAGTTGCAATCCAAATGACAGCTGCTCAGGCTTCCAGATGGTCTCAGATACAGATTTAACCCTTAAAAGAGTTCTGGAAGGAACACTGCAGTGTCCTTTCCTGTGGGGTTAATTGAGAAATCCTAGGCCAATGTCTAAGGTTGCTGAGATACGCCTGTAAGAAAGTATGGCTTAAAATTACACAGAGTCTGAAGGCAATTGACCCAGCTTGAGTTACAAGCAGCCCTCAGGAACAAACTGAGTTTGTAAGTCAAGGGTTCACTACCTATGTTCATTACGTTAGTCATTATGTAGTTTACTATGA